AAAAAAAAAAAAAAAATAGCTGGGCATTGTGCTGGGCACCTATAGTCCCAGCTACTTAGGAGACTGAGACAAAAGGATTGCTTGAGCCCAGAAGTTTGAGGATGCTGTGAGCTATGATGCCACTGTACTCTACCAAGGGCAACAAAGTGAAACTCGGTCTTAAAAAAAAAAAATTAACAAAATTACTTACATAATAATTCCCCCTTTTATTTGTCTGCAAAGATTTGAAGACCATATGGTCTTCCCTTGAGTTTCTTGATTCACCAGCAAATGCTTTAGTGTCCCTAGGTGCCAGGTGGGGGCTCATAAAGGGGACCCAGGTACCTCTCCTGTTCTTATGGAGCCCATGCTGAGGAAAGACAGACACTTAAATGACCAACTCTAAAAGCAGCAGAACTCCTAGACTACTCGCTTTCAAAGTAGACCTCCCCACACTCTTCTTCCCCTGGTCCCATTTCATTTTCTCCACTAAACTTGGCACCACAGAAATGACTGGCTGTACTTGCTTGGATCTTATCTTCCCTCTTACAGAGGAAGCAATGTGAGGGCAACAATCTGACCTTTGTACTCTGGCCTCATCCAGCTGTTGGATGTGGGCTGCCCAGAAGGGCATGAGGGTGGCTTCTCCTGCTGAGGCATTGCACAGAGGGCTGGGCTAAAGCCTGTCTGCCCACACCCTGCCAAGATTGGGCAGATGCTTAAGGTGCAGCAGTTCTCAGAACTTAGCGTGCATCAGAGTCCCCTGGAGGGCTTGTTGAAACTCAAATGGTTTGGCGCACCCCAGAGTTTCCGATCCAGTAAGTCTAGGATAGAACCAGAGAATTTGTAATAAGTTCCCAGGTGATACTGAGGCTACTGGCCCCTGGACCACACTTTGAGCACCACAGGGGTGTCAGGTGCATCAGTATGGCCAAGATTTTATACTGAGTAGATAGATGCAGGGTGGCTCCAAAAACAGGTTTCTTAGAAGCTCTAACAGTGATTGGTGAGAGGGATGCTCCAAAACAGGCCCCAGCAGAGGTGCTGGAGAACAGAACCAGGGAGCTCCAGACACAGGCAATAGTCAATCAATGGGCTGGTGGGAGGAGGAGTTGTCAGAGCAGCCTCCAGGTTGGAAATGCCAAGGACGAGGACCGCCACAGGGTCGGGGAAGGGAATAGTGTGTTCCCTTTGGAACTTGCTGGCTTGAGGTAATAAGGACATCTTCAGATTGAGGTATTAAGAAGGCATTTGGAAATACAATTCAAAACTTAGGAGAAATCTGAGGGTGGGTACAGATTTGAGGGTCTTCCAGGTGGAGGCCTAAGATAAACAAGTGGACAGCTCATTAAAGGAAGAGAGCGCTTAGAAGGAAGACAAGAGGCCCTTGCTCCTAGGGGTGGGCAGAGAAAGAGACCAGGGGCGTGCCCCCAAGGCATGTGAAGGAAGGAACACCACAGGGGCAGTACCACATGCTAGAACATTTTGAAAACTGAGCTAACATCTGAAAAACTCTGGAGACTTTAAAAGAACCAGCCCCAAGAGGAGGGGCTGTGTTTGAGGCAGGAGTTGGAGGAGTTGGTCTATGTACTTTGAAGTCACCATGTTTACTTTGCCTTAGTGGTAGTCATTTTATGGCTGTGTTGGGGGAGGTGTCCATAGCAAAAAGAAATCCACGTGTACGTGGGACACATAGCTGTCCATGACAGAGGAAAACCACGGAGGGCACTGGAGTGGTTCAGGCTAAAGCTGGGGGCTACTTTTGCCCCTCTGAGCTGAGTCCCAAGAAGGAAAGGCACCGTGCCTTCATCTTTTTCCCTTTCTGGAATTGACACTAATCCAGAACCTCCTGGGACCTTCAATTCACCACTTTTACAACGATAAATAGGATTCTTTAAAAAAAAAAAAAAAAAACTCTTGGGCAAGAATGCTAGAGAGAATACATTTCTATGAACTGAGAGTCCTCAGGTGACAATTTGGTGTTTCATAGATGGACGGGTCACTTTTTAATCTGTGGTACTTGTTTACTCATCTGGGTCTTGGCAAACCCCAGTGTTTGAGGGTACAGGGATGAAGTTCAGCCAGGCTCCAGGTAAGGCTGATGACTCAGAATCACACAGGGCCCAACTTCTCAGGCCATCACCAGCCAGGACTGCTTTAGGCAGGAACCCACACTGAGCGTGCCAACCTGTGCTCTGTCTTCACAGTTCTGTACCGAGCTCAACCAGCCCATCCTGCCCAACATCCGCAAGTGGAAGGGGCCCCGGGGATACTGGAAGGCCGCTGTTGCTGAGAAGCCTTCAAGTCAGCTCCAGAAGGTACCCTCGTCTGCAAAACACGGCCTTTGCCTTCATGTTACTTAAACATGTGTTTTCCTCTAATCAAGGGCATTTAAACATTTCCTTTGCCAATATCCTTGATGCATTTTTGTATTTCTGCCCAATTCTTAAATCATTGCCATTTGTTTCTAAATGCCCGGGTTCTCGTTTCATGTTTAGATTGGGAATGGATTCCTGCCCAGACGGAAACAGGAGCTCAGGGTGTTGGGAGGAGAGGAGAAATCCTGTTCAGGGCTCAGGCTGCAAATGAGTATTTCTGGCCTTTGTCCTTATAATCCCTTTACCGTAGTTCTGTGCATTGCCAAGTTTGTGAAGAGCCCATTATTCATTGACTGAAAACTTCACATTCACCTTGGTTCGGACGGACAGGAAATCCTACATATTTGCTTTCAGTGGTGAAACACATGCACACAGGAGCGTTCTATTGAAATTTTCAGCAGATTTTTATTTTGCATTTTATTTCCTCACATTATATTCAATACCAGATTTACTCGCCTTGGAATGTTTAATATCAGTGGGGTTTTAGGGTTTTTTTTTTTGAGACAGAGTCTCAAGCTGTCACCCTGGATAGAGTGCTGTGACATCACAGCTCACAGCAACCTCAAACTCTTGGGCCCAAGCGATTCTCTTGCTTCAGCCTCCCAACTAGCTGGGATCACAGGTGCCCACCACAACACCCGGCTATTTTTTGTTGTTGTCGTAGTTGTCATTGTTGTTTAGCAGGCCCAGACCAGGTTCAAACCCGCCAGCCTCGATGTATCTGGCTATCACCTTAACCACTGAGCTACAGGTGACACCGGGGTTTAGGTTTTTAAAAAGATTCTTGATAATTGACCATGAGTTGAAAAAAATATGTCATTATACAATTTTTCTATAAATGCAGATTTTTAAAAAATCTCTAGTATGTGCTTACTATACTTACAAGCACAGGTGAATTATCCTTACATGACTAATATTTATCATGTAGGTGTGTACATCATAAATGTCTCCTAGATATACTCTGGCACCCTAGGCTGGAGTACAGTGGCACAGTCATAGCTCACTGCAGCCTCACACTCTTGGGCTCAAAAGATCCTCCTGCCTTAGCCTCCCAAGTAGCTGGGACTATTGTCATGTACCATCATACTTGGCTAATTTTTAATTCTTTTTTGTAGAGATGGGGTCTTGCTGTGTTCTCAAGCTGGTCTCAAACTCCTGGCCTCAAGCAATCCTTCCACCTCAGCCTCCCAAAGTGCTAGGACTACAGGCTTGAGCCACCACCCCCAGTTTACTTTGCTTTTTTAAGAGCACTTTCTAGGTATGTAGGTGCCTAAGGGTTCATGCGGCTTTTATTTTCCATTCAATACACTTTATTCTTTCATTTGATACATTATTAATGAAATGTTGCTATGTCCCAGGCACTATGTTCCATGCTAGATGCACACTAGTGAGAAAAATAGTCCCATTAGTCCAGGCCTGCACGTTTCCCTCTGGAGTAGGAATCCCAGCAAGAACCTGACCTGCCTCTCCCTCTGAGAGGTTATAGTATATTGGAAGGACAAGACAAGAAACCCTACTCTAGGTTGGGGTGTTGAGGCCATTGGAAAATAACATGAGGTTGCAGGAACCTGAGTTCTATTCACTCAAACCTCTCTGCCTCAATTTCTTCATCTATAAAATGGGAATAGTAGCTCTTCCTTAGCTCCTGGGAGTATGCATTGGAATGCATCACTACCAGGGTACAGGCCAGGGCCTGAGAGACAGGAGCAAAGCAGTGGGCTGTCTGGGCTGCCTGGGACTGAGGGCTCAGCCTATCTCAGGCTGCAGCTGGGTCCACGTCTGGCCAGTACGTTCTATGGAGCATTATGGACCCAATGTGCTCAAATCTTCCAGTTTCATTTTAATAGGAAATACCATAAATTTTAAAAAAGGACAGATAACCCCGTGAATTTTTTGAAAACACTATGTAAATCAAACAAAATGTATCTGCTGATGATGAACATTCAGTTTCTTCTTTTGACAAACATAAAAAAGTGGTAGCAGACACTGCCATTTCTCCAGTGCCCAAAATGATGCCCAGGCCTCTGCTGCCCGGCTCCCTAGTCCTCACACCCTAGCTAGCAGGGCGGTTTACAGAGGACAAAATGAAGACCTAGTTTCGCCCAAAGTTACCCTTTTGCTATGTGAGATGTGAGCCCACTTCGCTCGTACTGGCTGGAGGGTCTGAGCTCTTCTGGACAGGGGGAATGGGGCAGGCTCCCCAGAGGTAGTGGGGAGCCCACGGTGGAAAGAATGGGTTGCACAGAGCGTGAGGCAGGGCAGGCCAGGTGCTGTGGGAACAGGCCGAGCAGTGTGAGGAGTACTGCTGAAGATGGTACAGACCCATCACAGAGCGGCCCCTGGGGAGCCCTGAAGGATTTCAGGCGCATGACGATCTGGGCCATGCTTTAGGTGGGTTACTCCAGCACCACCCCTCGGGAAATGGCAACTGGGGAGATAGACAGGGCCGGCAGGGCGGTGGTGTTTACCTCACTTTATCCCTGAGGAAACTGAGGCTTAGAAAGACCAACCGGCTCACCAAGGTCCCCCAGCTAAGTGGCTCAGGTGGGACTGAGATGCATATTTTCTAATTCTCTCCCTAGTGGGTGGGTGAGGAGAGAATGTTAAGATACAGAAATGCACAGCACGCAAAACACTGCTCCCCATTCGCTCCCTCCCTCCCCTAAAAGCACGCTGTCCTGAGAGGTTGTGCCTGTCAGGTGTCTAGCACAAACCTGAACTGACACTGGGGACTGATGGCAGTGGCTCAGGAGGACAGTTGTGCAAAGTCACTTCCCCTCCTTTTGCAATGAATAGGAGCTGTGCTGAGTGTCACTGGCCTCTTGGAGGCCACACTGACCACTCCCCGAGCAGTGGGCACTGAGCGTGTGCTCTTGTGGCCAGCAAGCCTCCACAGGCCATGCTGGGGTGGACAGGAGGAGCGTGTCTTCTTTCTGTAAGTGACAGCAGCATGAAGCGGACAGATTCAGAAAGGCAGGGGCTTAGCACCAGGTCTCGGGACTGTGTCCCACTGCGCACCCACAGGGCCTCTGTGAGACTCTGTCTACCTGCAGAGGGCTCTTGACCAGTTGCAAACCATTAGGACTATTAGCTCTGACCTCCCTTCTTGAGCTTCTACCAGGCGCCAGGCACCATTGGTTGTAAGCAGCAGCTAATAAATAAGCAAATCCCATCCCTTAGAGTCTTATTTTTGATTTTCAGCATTGCCATACACAGTTGTGGGATTTTAGGGAAGTCACTTCAGAGCAGCAGTGTCCTCATCTGGTAAATGAGGGAATGAACTGCTACCTTGTAGAAAGTGATGACTTAAAAGGTAACTCTAGGTTCAGGGCCTATAGCTCAAGTGGCTAAGGCGCCAGCCACATACACTGGAGCTGGTGGGTTTGAATCCAACCCAGGCCTGCCAAACAACAATGACAACTACAACCAAAAAATAGCCAGGCATTGTGGCAGGTGCCTGTAATCCCAGCTACTTGGGAAGCTGAGGCAAGAGATCACTTAAGCCCAGGAGTTGGAGGTTGCTGTGAGCTGTGATGCCACAGCACTCTACCCAGGGTGACAGTTTCAGACTCTGTCTCAAAAAATAAATAAAAATAAAAGGTAACTCTATAGCTAATCTGGACTCCACTCACCTCTCCCCAAAAAGAAAAGAGCCCAATCAACCCTGGTTGTATGTAAAGCTCCAAAATTGGCAATGTATGAGATTATTTCAGCAGGGTTGGGGTAAGGAGTAGCAGGGGACAGGGGAGAGCAGCTGTGGCTTTTGTGGTGCTTTTGGTTTAGAAATAGCCCCTGTGCACTTGATCTTAAGCCCCAAAGCAGAGCCTGCTGCCCATCTTCCATCTCGTCCAGCCTCTCCTGTTCCCCAGTGCTGGGTTGCACTGGGCTGTGTTAGGACTTTGGTACCAAGGCTTCTCTCTCTCTCTACACAGAGGGCTGGGTACTCAGGATTCCTCTGGGACATGGCTGCTGGTGTGGAACTGAGAGATGCCACCTCGCAGGAGAGCTCACCCAGCAATGGGCATGGGAGACCTGTGGGCCCCAGCCCGTACCTCGCAAGGTTCAAGGTACCTGCTCCATTTGTCGGTGATGATCCACTTCTTTCTCAAAAAAAAAAAAAAAAAGTCTCATTTTGTAAAACTAGATGTAGAGATCTTGGTGCCTTGGTTTTGTTGTCTTGGGGTTGGGTCTGCACCTGCTCCTGGAGCTTCCTTGGCAGGTGAACTTGTTCTGGCCAGGAATGAAAAGGATTTTAAGGGACTTTCAGCCTGGATAAGTCTCATATCAGAGGCAGCTCCTAGACCTGACACCTATCAATCACCTGGCGAGGTTTTCCTTCATTCAGGGATTCCTGAACCCCACCCCAGATGTACAGAATTTCTGGTATGGGGCCCCAGACTATTTGCCATCAGCACTGCTTCAGCCCATCTGGTGCTGCCTCACAAGGCTTTTGGGAGTAGCTGGATTCAAGAGCAGCAGAACTACTCCGAGCAACCCCTTCTTCTCAGCTGCTTCCTTTAGGGAACCCTTGATAGGTGGTTTGGAATTGGAGGGGATTCATGACCCACCCTGGGCTGTGGCCAGGGACAGATCTGTAACTGGCATCTCCCAGATGGGAGTCTCTGTCTCACCAGAGTCGAGGAATAGCAGATTGACTGGAGTGCCATCTCTCTGATTCGCTCTGGATGCCCTTGGGAAGTGTTAATGAACTGCAGAATGGTCAGAAGTAGGGCAGCAGGAGGGAGGAGAAGTCAGGGGCCAGAACAGGTGGTCAAGTTGGCAGGCAGAGAATTGTGCCACCATGGTACGTAATTATGGGATCATAGGTCAGGCAAGAGTGGTCCCTTGTTACACACCCAGCAGGTTCCTCGCCTGCTGGACCCTAAAAGTCTCCTCAAACCCCAACACAGCTTAATGGTTTCTGGCAGTTGAGGAGGCTGGGGCAGTCCCTGCACTGGGGGTTACAAGCTCACATGCACCATTGGAACCTGATGTGCCCAGTGGTGCCTCCCAGACTCCTCTCTGTGACAGTGATAAGGCTGTGTCTGCACACCTGGGGGTGTCTGTGGGTTGTACCTGAAGTACTAATGCATGAGTCAGCCAGTTATCACCTTTAAAAATTCCTAAGATTACGCTGATCCCCTTATGATGGTAGGTAGCTGTTCTGGCTTTGGCCAAGCAATGCTATGACCAGAACCTGCTGGTGTTGCTAAAAGGCAGGCTGTGTTTTAATGGGCTAATGAGAAAGGCTATCATGGCATGAAGGACAGGTCCAAGCCCCCTCAATAGAGTAGTGCCCTGGACAGGCACTTGGCCTTTTAAACTCTCTGTTATGTAGGCCAGGCAAGTATGAGGTACAGATGTGGCATATGGCTCAGTCAGTGGGACCCCTCCTGGCCTTGAGGTGGTTTTTCCTATGTTCAGAGCCACAGCTGCTGAGCTTTTGGTCCTGGCTGGTGGTGATAGCATGCTGAGGCCACATCTGAGCACCCTCTGAAAGATGAGACTGGCACCCTCTACTTCCTGGGGGCTCCCCCTACTCCCCTTCTCTTCCTGGAAATGTTTATGTTGGTTGCCATGACAAACGGAAGGGCAGGATTGCCAAAGCCCGAGGAGCTAAGCAGAGCTGAGTGCCCAGGAGACAAACTCTGACGTCACATTTCTGTGCCCACAAACCAAGGGTCTGCCCTTGGGAATGCAGAACTGCGGCATGTCCTGGGCCACCAGGTTCCGGGGCTTGTGGTTTGGACATGTTGAAATTGGGTTAAAATGAGCATTAGGGCACAGCAGGCTCCAGAAAGAAAAGAACACAGATGAGAGCATGTGAGATGTGTGTGTGCTAGGAGGGGGCATTGATCCCAGCAGTGGGTCCTGGCAGGAGAACTCAGCTGGTCCTTTGGGGCCAAGAACCTAAATCTTTGATAACAACAAGGTGCCAGAGCCACCTCCTTCTTATATATGATTGCATAGAAAGTAGACAACAACAGAAAATCCCAGATATGCCCAACTTTTAGGCCCCAAGGAGTCGGGGGGGAAGGATGTTGGGAGTGGACTGGTAGAACAAAATAGGTCTTATTCCTGCAGGTGCCTGGGAAAAAAAATCTGAGATGGGGCATCACACATTGTCTCCCGGAGGTGGGGGCTAACCTTATTTTGTTTACCATGGCCACTTGTGTGCATGAAGCTACTTACTGATGAGTTGCTTGTAAGGGACACAGGAAATAGGAAAATCTAAGTCTTTCCCTGTTGCTTTGTTTCCTGCTGTCCAGGTGGGAAGCAATGACTTGACCCTTGTGAACCTTCACCTGGCAGCCCTGACCCTGCCAGGGGCTGAGAATCCATGCAGGAACCACAGTGACAGCCACCGGGTGGCGAGCTTCGTGCAGACCCTACAGGAAACCCTGAAAGGTAGGAAATTGCCTTTGTCCATGGGCCGGCCACACTTCTGCAGGGCACGCAACAGTACCTCTTCCAAGCCAGCTCTCTGGCCACTTAGGCTGGCAGTTGTCAGCCAGGCAAGTTGCAGGTGCAGGGGAAAATCAACCCCTGGGATCTCATGGAGCTGATCTGACCCCAAGTAGAGGAACATCTTTGTCTCTGTGGACCTAGCGTGTGAGTTCCTAAATGTCAGCTGGGGCTTCTCAGCCTATCTTGGGTAGAAACGATTAGGGAGGAAGTATAAGTGATGACTCCTTTCCCGAAAGACGGCTCATTCTGAGCCCAGCTGCCATGCAGTGCCACCCTGTGGGTGCCACCTGCACATCTGTGTGTGCTCTTCTGAAAGAGGGACAGAAGGTGACAAAGAGAAATGGTAAATTCCTGATTATGGGCAAATTGAGCTTTTCTTCCCAGCAGGCTGCAGATCATGCTGAAGGAGCCTTGAACCTATACAAAAAAGCTTTATTTATATAACACAGGACTTCAGACAAGTCCAAACCACTTCAGGTCCCCATCTGAACTGGGGAACTGACGGTACTTCCCTCAGAGGAGTACCCGGAGGGCTAAGTAACAGTGTCTGTGGAAGTAGCAAGGACTTGGTAGGGACTCTGGATACACGGATTGATTTATGATGCCAGAAGAATTAAGAGAACACTGAAAAGAGCAGAGCTCAGGAGAAAGGTGGGTGCTTTGTTTTCCAGGCTCTGCCCCAACAAATATAGGTCTTCTGTGCTTGTTTCACCAGAAGGAAAAGTTGACAAGGCTGTAAAGACTGTGATCTTGTCCAGTTGGCTTCACTTTTCAGAACACCTACCTTCTTTAGGTGGGAGTTTGCAGCTGAAGGCCTGGAATTCTCTTCTATATTCTTGAGTCTTGCCTGATAGTCCCAGCTTTCTAAGATTTTCCTTATTAAATTGGCTCCTGACAAGGGGTAATTCATGACACATTGGCTATAAAAATATTTCCATCAACTATAAGCTTACATTTAAGAAGTTTTCTATTGTGGTAAAATATACCTAACGTAAAATTTACCATTTAAATCATTAAGTATACAGTTCGGTGGCATTGCGTACCTTTGCACTGCTGGGTAACCATCCACCACCCAGAACTTTTTCATCTTCCCAAGCTGAAACTCTGCACCCATTAAATACTAACTCCTCCCACCCACCATTCGACATTCTGTCTCTATAAATGTGACTGCTCTGGAGAGTGCATAAAAGTGGAATTATGTGAATTTGCCTTTATTTCACTTAGTTTGTCTTCAACATCCAGGTTGTAGCATATGTCCCAATTTCCTTCCTTAATGAGACCAAGTAATACTACATTGCACTGCATATATATACACATACTGAATTTTGTTGTTTATCCGTTCATCTGTTGATGGACACTTGGGTTGCTCCCACCTTTGGGCTGTTTTGAATAATGCTGCTATGGGCATGAGTGTGCAAGCTTTTATTCTGAATCTGGACATGTTCTGACTGGCATTCTACTTAAATGCTAAGTCCACAAGCTAAAAAAATCAGACAGGAGATTTAAGCTGAGGTGCTCTATCCAAGAAGCAGCGAATTGTTCACCCACTATTAGTCTCTAACCTGTTAAAAAAGATGACTTGATAGCTTTTCCCATCTCTGAGTGTTTCTATTGTTTTCATTCTCAAACATTTCCTTTCTTAATATGGAAGCAGGAAAGAAAGACACCAGTTCATAACTTCTGATACCCTTAGGCACTTACTGTTTGTTCCTCCTGATATTCAGGGAGTGATCAGGTTTTCGTCCAAAAACCTTGGGCAGGTTATTGTCCCAAGTGGCCAAGGGACCACTGACCCACATCCTGGCTCCCCCATGACACATCCAGGTAGGGACAGTGATTTATGCACCCTGCATGACCCTGCTTGTAACCAATATCCAATTAACTGTCAACTGGTGTCACTTCAGATCCAGGCATTCAGGAAGTGCTCCAGTTTGCCTCAGTCTAACAAGGGTAAATAGATTAGCAGAGGGGTTCAGCTAAAACAAAGACAAGGCCTTTATTCCACAGGCTTCTATCTCAGCAAACAGAACGATTCGGTGAGCAAACTCTGGGCCTTTCTGCCTTTGTCTGGAATGTGCATCCAGGTTGATGTCAGCAGGTAGTATTTCAGTCCCCTGGTAGAATTTTCTTTCAGACCTGACCAGGGTGTGAAGATAGGGGTTTCCCTCTGTGAGCTTGGCAAGAGTGAAACAGAGTGTGTAGTAATGGCTGACATCTGGGTGGAATGGTTGCTCAGTGGAACAGGTTGTCACTGGCATTTTATAAATCTAGAGACTCTGAGGCAGTCAGCCCCAGCATCCTCCCCTCACTTCTGGGAAGCAAGGGAACCGTGAAGGAGGCCACCCCGGGCAGATGGCTTTCTAGGAGTAGAATAATTTAGGCTTCTGCAGCACACCTGAGGATTATCAGACACAAGAACTTCCTTGATGTCATCACTGATGCAGATTTAACCCAAAAAATAGGAGTTGTGAGAAATCTGGATATGCTTCTTTCAAGAAGAGGACTGTTATTTTCGCTCCTAAAGTTATCCAGAGCTGGGTTTATTGTCCTTTTTTTTTCCAATCAAGTCCATGCAGCAATGTTTATTGTCCCTTGACACCAGCATGTGTTCTGGTTTCAGAATTATCTTTCTTGGCCCAAACTTTGTCAAGTCTGCATCCCAGCAAAACCCTGCACTCATCGTAGGGGAATCTCCTGCTTTAGTCTTTCATAACCTTCAGTTTTCCTTGATATCTAGTAAATGTAGCGTCTTTCTCTTTGTTCTTTAAAACTCAAACTGCCCCCTGATTCTGAGGTCTTCCTCACGCCTCATGCTTGTCTGTTGAGCACACCTTGTCACGTTTCTGGCAGAGCCACCAGCACTGTCCCAGCACTCAGTGTAGTCACAGCAAACAGCAGCCACATCCTGGTGGCTCTTCCATTCTTGCTGTTTGTGACAAGCTCTGGATTTGAGGGCTGGCTCGGTGACTTTTGTATTCAACGCTATTCTGGGCGCTCTCAGAGGATATGGTAATAGCCCCTTCAGAAGGGGTTGTGGCCAGTCACTGATGGTTCATGGGGGTAGTGGTTGGCCAGGGCTCAGTGAACCGTTGTTAATGCTGCTGTTAGAAGTTGGCACTGATCTCTCAAGACGGCAGGAGCTGGCCCTGCCGTGGGTGCCCAGGTTGCTGGGGTCTAGCGCGCGCGGGGCCGCACGGCGGAGCTCAGAGAGGCTTCCACGCGACACCTCCCGGAGGACAGCGCCACCTGCGGCGCACGGGCGCCCTCTGCCGGTGGCTCGGGTCGGTTCACTTTAGAAGGCGTCCCTCTAGCTGTTTTACCAAAGAGTTGCTCAGAGCCTTGGGTACACCGAAAATGATTTCGTTTATGAGCCTCTTTCCTTAAAGCCACCCTCCCCAGGTGTGACAGAATGCCACCCCCTGATGCATCCTGGCTCTTCTGAAGGGAACTCGTTACAAGAGGGTCCGGCAGAGTCCAGGGCCTCGCTGGGGTCTGTTCTGTCAGAATTTCTACTCACTTTACTTAGGAAATTCTTACTTTTATAACCATCCTACTTCCTCTAGGGTAAATCAGACTGTGGGAGAAGTGCCTGAAACACTGTAAAGAGAAGACCTTTTCACTTTGGCCCTGAAAGCACCTTGCAGTCCTTACACACACGTGTGCACATACACACACACACATATACACAGGCGATGTTTAATGGCCGCTGATTCTCTCTGGCAAACGTGTAAATGTGGGTCCTGAAACTTAAAGGGAAGGGACCCTGAGGGACAGGGAGGTGCCCCGTCATGCCAGGTACTTTTTTTTTTTTTCATGCCAGGTACTTTTGATAGCTGCTCTGACCCCGGCAACACCCAGGAGGAGAGGGATTGTTCTCCCCTTTTATGGACCAAGGTCACAGGGCTGGGTTATGGCAAAGCCCAGATTCCACACTCACAGCCATCTAGCTGTCTTCCTAGAACTGGGACCAGGAGCCAGTGTTTTCAGATATGCTATTCTGTGGGGTTTTATTTCATTTTCAGTAACTCTCCGTGACCACTCTTCCTCCTAGTTAGTTTGGATTAATAAGGGTGAAACAAGAAATTGGGAAAAAGGACAGAACAGTTTCGCTGCTTTGAGAGAATATGATTGTCAGTTTGTTACAACTAAAGTTAGAACAAATGTTAGTCGCAGCAAGAAAATTAAGAAAAGTGCCTAGTTACAAACTAAAACCACAAAAACTAGTACCTTCTGACATATGTCAGCAATAACCAGTTAGAAAGTACAATGAGACAAAGCCAAGATCCCATTCATAATAAAAAATGAAAAATATTAAAATACTTTGAAATATGGGTAGTAAAGCAAAATAAAAAACTATAAAACTTTACTGAAGAACATTAAGAAAAAGAGATGTGAATGAACAGGCAAACATGGCATGTTGAGAAGACACCCATCCTTACCATAGTTCTGTGTAGTTTCTTGCACCAGGAAGCTATTGCTTCCCATGCCTGGCTGGACACAGTATACATAAAATCAGAATCTCTCTGAATGAGCCCGGATTTCCTGGAGTGAAACTCAAAAATAATATTTTTTTGCCAGGCTGAGCAAGAGCGAGACCCCATCTCTAGTAAAAACAGAAAAAATTAGCCAGGTGTTATGACATATTCCTGTAGTCCCAACTACTCAGGAAGCTGAGGCAGGAGGATCACTTGCGTCCAGGAGTTTGAGGCTACTGTGAGCTAGTCTGACACCATGGCACTCTAGCCTAGGCAACAGCGTGAAACTTTTGTCTTTAAAAAAAAAAAAAAAAAAGCCACACATTTTTGTAGCTACCAGCATTCTAAGGGCTTTTAAAAAGCCCCTTTCCCAGTTCAATCAGAGCAGCCCCATGTTTAGCCACTCAACTTTTGGGGCTTCCTTATAGGATTTTACTTGAGAAAAAGAATCTCTCATTTTAAGAAAAATGTTTGAAAATTGCTGATTTGAAGCAAATTCATGTCTCAGATGTATTCACAGGTAGAAAAAATAAGGTAGGAACTGAAAGCTAAAGTTGCCATAATTGTGTGAAAATAAATATACATGGCTATTCGTGTATGTGCAGAGTAACCGGGAGGAGACATCAGGAACCGGGGTGACCTCATCTGGCCAGCCAGGGAAGGGAATACAAAAGTTAAGATGAGTTAAATTTAAAAAAAAAAAAATTTTCAATCAAAGTTTCAATATCATGAGATTATATAACCTGTTTTTTTTTTTGATTGTTTGTTTGTTTATGACAGAGCCTTACTTTGTTACCCTTGGTAGAGTACCATGGCATCATAGCTCACAGCAACCTCAAATTCTTGGGGTCAAACCATTCTCTTGCCTCAGCCTCCCAAGTAGCTAAGACTACAGGTGCCCGACACAATGCCTGGCTATTTTTAGAGACAGGGTCTCACACTTGCTCTGGCTGGTCTGGAACTTCTGAGCTCAAGCAGTCCACCCACCATGGCCTCCCAGAGTGCCACCATGCCTGGCCTACATAAACATTTTTAATGAAAGAATATTAAAACATACTATGGCACTAGCTCAAGAAAGGGTCCATCGGATAGGCTAAAGCTCAGAAACAGATATATTGTACATGAGATTTTTAAAGTGACAGGTTGATACCATAGTTCAGTTGCTAAAGAACTCTTCAAGAAATGATGCTTGCAGAAGAAGTTAATTATTTGTGGGGAAAAAGAAATCCAAGACATGTTAAAAAGTGATGTGTAAAAAAAATAGACCCTTAAAAAGAACTTAGTGAATATTTGTTGGATTTTGGAAGTACTCTTGAAAAATTTTGTTAGAACATACTACATAAAAAGAATTTTTTTTTTAACTTCCATGTACTTCAGTTTGGTCATAGGCCAAATGAAAAGGCAAATTAAAAAAAAAATTCCTGTCTATGATAAAGGGTTAATATTCTTAATATATGGAGAATTCATATTAATAAATAAAATATTAAGGTTCCGTACAAAGCATAGGCACAACAAGCACCCCCAATACCCAGGTCTTGGTTTCTAATACCATTCTCTGATAAAAGAAATAAAGATTCCTTAGAGAACAGCTGATTCTAGGACTAAAGCAGAAAACAGGCAGGACGATCTTGGAACACCCTATAGTATCAGAAAGAAGGGTTCAAACAGAAAACAAAAGTTCACAGGAGTCAACTAAAAGAGCTCCCAGTGACCAAAGCTGGAAAAATGGAGCCAAAAAGTAAATAACATGGTACTGGATTATAATGCAAAGCATAAAATAAGTATCCATGAGTCCATACCTGTCTAAATAAGTGATCAGATAATTGAATGAATGAGGAAGAATCGATAAATCTCTTGTATAGCAGAATTCCAAATCTTTTTTTTTTTTTTTTTTTTTTTGAGACAGACTCTTGTTCTGCTGCCCAGGCTAGTGGCATCATCATAGTTCACAGCAACCTCAAACTCCTGGGCTCAAGTATTCCTCCTGCCTCAGCCTCCTGACTAGCTGTGATGACAGGCATCCATAACAACACCCAGCTAGTTTTTCTATTTTTAGAGACAGGGTCTGGCTCTTGCTGAGGCTGGTCTTGAACTTCTGAGCTCAAGCAATCCACCTGCCTTGGCTCCCAGAGTGGTAGGATTACAGGTGTGAGCCACTGTGACTTACAGCCAAACAACTTAAGTAAATACTCTTCAAAAAAGGAGGAACAGAACTTATTTTTCTATAAGTAGAAGGTGTCATTTTCATACACTTAGTTAATTTTTTAGTGATAATGTTCAATGTTCAATGAGGGATACAGTTAGAGGAATTTCGTTATATGGCTGGAGAGGGTTGAAATTGGAGCAGCCTTTGTAAAGTAGGCTGGCAGTATTTATAAAGAATCTTAACAATGACCATACTCTATAACGGCAGCCCTGTACAGTACTAAGGACAGCAAGCAGGGACATGGATACTTGAATGAGATACCTACTTCAGCGTTATTTATTGCAGTGACTACCAGAAATAGCCTTAAAAATGACCCACAGCAGGAGAATGGTAAATTGCATACATCAACATGGTAGACAGATGCTGTGGGCCAACCACTGAATGCCAGGAACACTCAACCCTTTATCCTGGTCCATCGATCTGAATTTGACCTTCAGGCAGATAGAGCACATCTTCTAATCAAGGAGTAGCTACTGCTTACATCTTTAGACTCTGGCTTCTGTATCCCTAATAACATAGAAGCACCCAACTATACTTCAGGTACCCATCCCAGCTCCCCAAGGAAACCAGCTTGTTTCTTAACTCTCTGCTTTTGAACAAGTTCCCTGTCATCCTATTGACCTCTAAGACCCAAGTCAGTCATTACCTCTTCCAGGGAGCCTTCCCTGACCACCTTTCTCTGTGCTACATTGGTCTCTGAGTCTGTTTTTATTTCTGCACCTGTGCTCAGCTCTCATCTTTCTTCTAGTCTGTCTCTCCCATTAGACTGTGTGAGCTCAATGGGTTTTATTCATCTCTAATCTCCTGCATGGTAGGTGGTCTATAAATGTTTGTTGTGCTTTTGTTTAATATCTGGGCAAGACCTTTAGGCCTGTTTGTTTGTTTGTTTGTTTGCAGTTTTGGCTGGGACCCGGCTCAAACCTGCCAGCCACCCCCAGTATATGGGGCCAACACCCTACTCCTTGAGCCACAGTTGCTACCCCTTTAGGCCTGTTTTTGCTGTAACATTTGGACCCCATCTTATTTCCAAATGCATTACTAACCTACTTTTACTGTTTGGACCTTTTTGCACAAGCAATTTGGAAAAATGGGGAAAATGAGAACCATGGTGCCAGTCCCAATGCTGGGGAATCAAATCAGAGGCTGCCAATCTAGTTTCCATGGGTTATAGTCAATGCTGGATTTTACTTCCCAGCAGCTCATAAATTCCTCACATTTTTCTTTCCACTTTCCAGGAGAAAAAGATGTGATTATTTTAGGGGATTTTGGCCAAGGCCCAGATAGCAGTGACTGTGACGTGCTGAGGAAAGAAAAATTCCACCACCTGATCCCTCCGCACACCTTCACCAACATCAGCACCAAGAATCCTCAGGGCTCAAAGTCTCTGGACAACATCTGGATCAGTAAAAGCTTAAAGAAGGTTTTCACCGGTAAGATGAAAACCCACTCTCCTTTCTCCTGTTCAGAAGTTAAGTTTAGAGAAACATGTTTGAAGAGACAGAAATTATCATTTTTTGTGGGTTACTATATAATTATTCAATCAGAGATACTTTTAAGAGTGGGAGGTGACAAGTAATTAAAAGATCCCCACTGATCTACAACAAGGGCAAACCTGCTTATAGGCTAAGGGAGTCCTGCTTTAGAGATGAGCTGATAACTTACTCTAACTTTAAGGACACTTATTCATTCGGCAAACATTTGTCAAGAGTTGAGGCACATGAAGGAGGTGGTTCCAACATGCTGCATGAATTGATGTGTCACGAGGGAATAAGGCAAGTGCTCAGAGCGCCACAGCTCAGCCCTGGAAAGCAGTCAGCCTCCCCCAGAACACTCACCTGCTGAGTCAGGAGGCAGCATGACTGAAGAGATAATAGGATCTTTTGATGAGAGATAAGAATGGCGGTTCTAAACTCTTGCTGGAGGCTTTACAAAGCCTCAACATATGCATATTATGCTTTAAAGAGAAATTTAAAAATAAGAAAAGAACCAAGGGCTGGGTCCCACTGCAAGAGAGTCTGGCATGCATCCAGGGCCGAGATAACTGTGTCCCCAGCTTCTCCTACCTCTCTCTGGTATTGATTTCCTGTTAGACTCTGTCATGGGACGATCCAAACGGTGAAGGAAGTGGGTCTCAGAGGAGTGAGAGCTGTCAAACTAGACAAGACATAGTCTGCAGAAACTCTTGGCTGGGGTTGGAGGGCCGCCTGCCAGGTGCCCAGGCTCCCAGGAGGGGTCCCAGGGAGATGAACTTGGCCTGCCTGCATGGAGAGAGCTAGAAGGAAGTTAGAAACCATTTCACCTGTCCCCTTCCTGTTAAGTCGTATTAACTGCAGTGCAGGGAGGAGTTACCCCATCACAGAACTGTCAGCTGGGCACAGACCGCAGACTGCAGGCCTCTGTTGATCTTACACTGACCTTGGCACTGTTACTCCTGAGGACCACACAGAGCTCTCTAATTGTACTGCAATTGTTCCTGTAACTATTTGTTCCACTTCATATTTCTAAACCTTTATTTTTTCCTTGTTTTTTTTTTTTTTTTGTCGAGACAGAGTTCTACCCTTTGCCCTAAGCAGAGTGCAGTGGCATCGTAGCTCACTGCAACCTCAGACTCTGGCTTGTAGGTATCCTGCTTCCTCAGCCTCCGAAGCCGCTGGGATTACAGGCGCTCGCTGCGGCGCCCGGCTGGGTTTTTCCATTTTTTTCCATGAGTTGGGGTCTCACTCTTGCTCAGAAAAGCCTCGAACTCCTGAGCTCAAGCAATCCTCCCGCCTCAGCCTCCCAAAGTGCTGGGATTACAGGCGTGAGCCACCGCGCCCGGCTTAAACCTTTATTTTTTAAATATACTTTCTTAATAACCTCTGTAGTTTTCTCTTTCTTATCTTTTCTTTTTTGGGGGGGGGGTTAATACTTTAGATATTTATTGGAAATTAAGCTTCTTGCTGAGCTGGTCTCTTCAAATCCCTGATCTGTTTAACTAAATAGGTCTTCTCATCGTTAAACTGCTCGTCCTTGGTCCTGTCATTCTGAAACTTGCTGAGGAACTCTAGGAGTTTGGTCTGGTTCTTGAGGATGTCCAGGATGGGCTGTGTCTTGTTAGGATTGGCTACAAACACCTTAAAAACGTGGAAGGCCTCAAACTGGATGTTACAGCTTTTGTCTCGTAGAAGGTTCATCATTAATTTGAGGGTCTCAGGTTTACTGATGTATTTTGTCATAATTGTGAAGTTGTGTCTATCTAATAGTAGTTCACCAAGAAGCTTGAGTGACTGCCTTTTTGTCACATAATTTTCTGAATGAAGTAACTTCTCATACTCACTGAAAAATCTATCATAATGCTGCTCCAAAAATTCTGCACTGAGCAATTTATGTCTTGTAAGTAAATCCTTGAATGTGGCAAATGCATCTGAAGCTATGTCAAATGTTGACATTTCCACATAGCTGAAGAAATCATAAAACTGTTCCGACCACAAAATGATTTTTGCAAGTGGTTCATGTCTGATGCAGTCTCCTAACATTATTCCACAATTTAGAGCTATTTCTGGAGATTCATACCCTTTCAATAACATGAACAAAATATTCTGTTGGGTGCAGATGTATTCAACAGTAGGAGTTCTTGTACCAATTTGTCTTCTGAGAATATTGTTGAAAATTTGAGCCACGTCTTTTTTGCCCTCAAAGTCAATGAGCTGCAAATCAGCTACCAGGGTGCCGGAGGCCGCTGTTATATAGCTCCTGAGCAAGCTGAGCCACTGCTTCTGTCCGTGGCTCTTTTTCATTTGTACCATATAGAATTTCCTTCATAGCGACCAGATTTTTGGAAACTTCTTCTGTAGCCTTCTCTGCTTTTTTGTCAGAAATGTCTTGCTTTTCCGGAACAGCCATGCTTTCCTTTAGGTTCTTCACAATGTCTGCCGGAGATTTGTGAGACTTCCCACACGGGCACGGCATGACGGCCGTGCCAGAGGCCTCTGCGGCCCTCTGCCTACTCTACAGGGCTGGGCTGGCCGGCTTCCTCTCCACGTCGTCGCCGTCCCCGTCCTCCGCCGCTGCCGCCCCGGGCTGCTCGTTCGGTCCCCGCGGCGCGGCTCGGGCGCTTGGCTCCTCCGTTGTCTTCTGTCCGCTCCTGCTCCCGGCGACGGGCTCCCGCGGCGGCGGCGGTTGCGCGGGCGGACGGCGGCCCAGGAGCTCCCGCGGCGGCCGCCGAGCTGCTGTGCTTGCTCAGGCTGCGGCTGCTTCTGCGGGGCCCGGCGCCGCTTTCGCCTTCACCCTCGCCCTTGCCCCGGCTCCGGAAGGCTCTGTGTCTCCCAGGCCGCGCCGCTCCCCGATCCCCGCGCCCCGCTCCCGGACCGAGCCCGGCTTTGACGTGCGCACTGCGCAGCCGCCGAAGGCGCGACGTCGGGCGGCGGCTCAACGCCCACTTTGTCCTCGGGCGCCCCCTGGCGGACCGGAGGACTGAAGGCGCCCGGAGTCCGCGCTAGGCCGGCGGGGAGGGGCAGCTGAGAAAAGCAGATTCCATTACCCGAGTTCCTATTCTTTCATCAGCCACTTACATGTTGGTGCTCAGTCCGTTCTCTGGAGCCAGAGCACTTTTTCGAAGGAATCTCATCCCCGTGTTCAACGACCACTTCCACAAATGTTAACAAGCTTCATTTCTGCGAAAGGCCCCCAGCCGACTTAGTGCACACTGCTTCTTTTATACTTGGGAGGAGCAGATCATTCACTTCATTTTAGCATCTCCTGAAAGAGCATAGTGGGTGACAGAATGTTCCAGATTAATAGGAGTCTACCACTTGGATTTAAATCCCGGCTCCACCATTCAGTATCCAGAGGCATGTCACATCTCTGTTCCTGGTTGTCCTCACAAAGTAAAAAAATAAAGTATAATAATACGGTAGTACTTGCCACAGGCGGATGACGATGAACACAATAATGCTTTACAAAGCTCTGACTACAGCGTCTGGCATATAAAAATGCTGTATATGTGTATTTTTCTTTCTTTGTTTTCCTCGTATAATTGAACAAGTATATTTGAGCACCCAGGCCCTATTCTAGGCACTAGGGCAGTGAACTGAACAAACAGTCCCTGTTCCTGAGACAGTCAACAAATAAACCAACCAAATAATAC